GTTAAACAAGTTACCCGAGTAACCAATTAGTTATAAATTAATAAATTATTACAAGGAAATAAAAAAAGCCACTAGAATATTAGAAATGCAATGGAGAATGTTTTAAAAGTGAGACTCTTCATGAACTTTCTGCCATTTCATATTTTTGGCACAACATTTTATAATATTGGTGTAAGAATTAACGTTAAACAGTGAGGTGACATATAATCTATGAAAAGTCCCATTTTAAGAGTCTCCTTAACATTTCTTCTGGATGTATGTTTTATTTTTTTCGACTAAAGATTTAGAAGACAACAAATTGAAGTGGCTGCCACAATATTTTTATAATTAATTAACATGTAGTAAGATAATACATACGTAACACAAATAGGATTAGAATAATTTGAAAAATTATATACTTTTCCTTTGACTATATGACATGACACATGATCCGAATCTTGATGCATTTTTTCTGCCTTTCAATGCTCAAAGCTCCCCCCGGCTGCCTCGTGGGGGGCATAAAATTGACTTCACACACCCAAACGTGAAAATTTTCCATGTGAAACAAGGACATTGTTACCTAATTCTTTTCAGTTTCAGGTTGGGATGCATTCTCAAAATCTAAAAAAAAAAGTCAATTTGTAGAAATTTAATTGGGATTCTACTATTTTTAACAACCAGATTCTCAAACCCAAACTGTCGGTGAGGACATTGTTATGGGGTGTGGTTTGGAGAACATCGGGTGGGATTATGGTTGAGAGTTGGGCGACGGAAGAGCTATAAACACCCAAACTGTTGTTCACATACAATTATTGAACGATCGACTGTTTTGCATGATACATGCTTTGGACTCTAAAGATTGCTGATCTCGCACGATGCCAATGTGTGGAAAAAAAATGTTATACAAAAGAAAAAGAGTGAAAAATTGGAAATGCATACCTTGGCCCTTCCTAAAGCCATGGTGAGAACACTATACACAATCTGCATAACTGCCAAGACGAAGATGAAATTGTTGAGCTGATTGAGCCCCCCTTGAGATATAAATGAGGTCTTTCCCTGCAAACCCAAATTTCCTTTTAATTAAATAATAAAACTAAATTAAAAGAGAAAAACAACTACCCTCTTCATCGCAAAAATATATCAATAAAAGCAAAATACTTAATAACATACCTGGGATTCACAGTGATCTTCACTGGTATCGGCTGCTGCAAGCATTCTTTCTATTGGTATTTGCTCAAAACCAAGTGCTTTGGTGGTTTTTGTTGGTGCATTTTTTCTGCAGGGAAGCATGGTGAATGCAACTTTTGTGGGTATGCATATTTTGGATATGGATCTTTGTGATACTGTCAAAATTAGTGACATAAATCCCAGGAGTATAAGCACTGCACCAAAAAAATAAAAAATTTGATTCAGCAAATTGTGTCAAATTACCAACTAGAACATACATTCTGCATAAACTGCCTACGTGGGAAGAATACTCTCAGAATTAGGATAGGTTCTGAGTTCTTTTTCTAATGAATCAGCAAACAGAAATAACTTACCTGATTTGAGCTTCTCTACGGCCTCGAACAAGGCGGTTTTTCTGTGTTTTTTGAGCCACTGCATCAAAATACATGATCAAATTAAAGAAAGTTTGAAATTAGTGAAACCAGTTTCAAAAACCATTTGACTCTTTTCAACAAGCTTGATGGTAATATCTTACAAAAGGTAACATGTACATACCTTGCTAATGAGATGGATCAAGTGCTCTATAAATAGAGAGAGAAAAATGAACACAAAACAAACTGCTGCCAAAGCCCAGGTGGGGGTGTCTTGAAGTGAACGGCTGGATGCTGATCCTGCCGAAGCCATAATTTCTGTGTTTTCTTGGGGAAAACTGGATCAGCATCAAAGGAGGAGTCAGTGAAGAGATGAAAGAACCACACAGAAAGGTTGTTCATTTAAATACCTGAAATAAATAGAGAAGATGGGGATGAAATGTTCAAATCTTCTATGCTGCTGTGACTTTCAAGTCCAAGCAAAGCTGCGCCTTGTGAAAGTCGTCAGTGAAGAGATGAAAGAACCACACAGAAAGGTTGTTCATTTAAATACCTGAAATAAATAGAGAAGATGGGGATGAAATGTTCAAATCTTCTACGCTGCTGTGACTTTCAAGTCCAAGCAAAGCTGCGCCTTGTGAAAGTTGTATCCATTAAACTTGATTTGACACGGTTTATTATATTATATAATAAAGGTTTGTTTAATGGGGATTTTGAGTCCCACTTTTTTTCTTGGTTGGAGATTTAGGTCCCATATTTTCGCGCTGCAAATACGTCCATATGTGGAAGTGGTTGGGGCAGGTGGTTCCATTTATTTGGGAACTACTTTTCTGCATCACGACATGAATGTTACTGTGGATAATCAAAATCAAATATCGATGTTATGTGTTCACTTTTGTTGACCACGGCACGCAACTGACTAGATGCTTCGGCCAAAATAAGAGACGGACAAGTTTTCCCCCAAAAAAACAAAAATGTAAATTACAGTTGCACACATTCTTAGGTTTGAAGTCTATTATTGTAACAACATACAACATCTTTAAAAAATTTCACTTTCATACCTTATCTATTATTTTATTTCAATATAATACGTCTGTTACATTTTTCATTCATTAGTCTGTTAAGAGCTGATGTGGCCGTAATGGATCCCTTTACACGTCAGCCCACTCCCTCCAAAGCTTGCACACGTGGATATCCATCTACCTGCCAACTCAACCAAAAAAAATAAAATTGAAAAGGGGATCCGGGCAATCACCCTCTTCCTCCTCTCCCTCTACCTCACTTCCCGCCGCCACTCCCTGGTCAAGGCTCAGCCCAAACCCGCCGCCGCCGTCCAGCTGGTTTCCTAAGTTCCGATTTCTCCCCGAGTTCTCCAAACCACATCCACCACTTCGACGGTTTTCGAGTGGAGCGGGTCGCCAAGGAAGTTCAATTGAAACCCAGCTTTCCACTGTTGTTGGTGAGCGCAAGGCCGAATTAGGGCGGTCAAGGCTCACTTCACCCACTCGCCTTCGACCCCACTGATTCGAACCAGCGAGTTCATCATAGCGGATCTACGCATATTCAACTTGTTCAACTGGAAAAAATCCGGTGTTTTGACTCCCTCCTTGGTTCTTACGGAGGCTGCAGCGAAACGATCCCGGATGCGACGTTAGTGAGCACATACAGGTCTTTTTCGGCATCAAAATCGATCTGGTTATCATGGAAACGGCGATGGATCGGTTCGAATGATGGTTAGGAAAGATCAAGCGATGGTCGATGAAGAACCGAACTGATGGAGACGGAAAGGAGGAGGCCGAACGAACGCTGATCGGTGGTGGTGGTGGTTGTGGATCTGCTAATTGTAGTAGTGGTGGTCCTGGTGGTGTTAGAAGAAGGCGAAGGCTGGAGACGAGAAGTTGGAGATTGTCGAAGAGAGGGGTGGAGGGGGTTGCGGGGAACTAGAAGGGATAGGGTTCTGGGTGCTTTTTATTTTTTAATTAATTATTTTTAAATGCATAAAAAATTTATTTTTAGCCACGTAACATAAATGTGGCAGCCACATCAGCTCTTATCGGAACAATGGATGGAAAATGTAACGGATGTATTATATTGAAATAAAATAGTACTTGAGGTATGAAAGTGAAATTTTTTAAAGATATTGTATGAGATTGAAATAGACCGCAAACCTGAGGTGGTAAAATGTAATTTATCCAAAAAAATAATAATAATAATAATTAAAAAAACAGGCAAATTTTGAGGAAAAAAACGATTTTCATTAAGAAAAGAACACGTACACAAACATAGAGGATATGGTGCGTGCTGAGCCTCGATACAATTTCTTCCTCCTTCTTTCTCAGTGATTGGGATCACGATCTTTGCACTTTCTCTATCTCCAAAACCCTAGCTTTTCACATCAATGACGAATTCTGCTGCTCCTTCCTCTGATTCTACAGCTCAAGTTCATCAACCTCCTCCGATGACTTCCTCTATCACGATCACTCCTTCAGCACTTCCTCCGTCACGATTTAGAACATTGGATACATGGTGTTGATTAAGCTCACAACTACCAATTATCTAACTTGGAGTGCTTTGTTCACTCCAATTTTTCGTTGCTACAATCTCATCGACATAGTTGATGGATCAACACCTCCACCGCCTCAAATGCTACTTGATGATTCCAGCAAGCACACCTCTCTCATCAATCCATATTATGTTTCTTGGTACGAGGGTTACCTGCGTGTCACCTTCGTGTAAACCTGTTAAGGATCCGTTATTAACGGGTTCTTATTGTGTGACCTGATAACGACTCAATTAGTTATTGTGTCGATAGAAAATCTATTATTTTCATGTTATTTACGTGTCGTATTAACAGATCCTATAAAAAATTATTAGATCTACTCAGCGAAATGAAACGTGTGCCATAGATTAAAGCGTATATTATCACATCGCCACCAAAGGCCAATCCTATCCAGGCCACAAGTTGTTACATCATTACCAAAAACCAAGCTAATCACCATCATATCATCCGCCCAATAATTTATTTTTCTTTTGGTGATCACAAATACCACGACTTACCACGTGCTGGTCTTGTTTGATGACCAGAATGTAGTCATCATCATCCATTCAAACTATTCTCTACATCAACTTTAACTGTACCGTTTACTTCCGGAGATATAATTTGCATCTCATTTATTTAGAATAAGAAAATCAAGACAGTTTAATACATTATTAAGAGTGAATTATTATGATTAAGAAGATCACAATATTATCTTTCAATAATATTAAAAAATTATCTTTAACTGCTCTTCTATCCAACAGTCTAAAACTCTATTCCTTCAACTATTTCTTTTGCATAGACCGATGACATAATATGGTCTTTGTAGGTTTAGTTAGGTTTCGTTTTACCATAGGTTGGATTAACTTACGGCTTTTGTTAAATAACGGAATTGATTTGTTTATAAAAGTAAAACAATAAAATGATAAGGACACATAAATACACACCCTCTAATTAGTATCTCCAATGAGAGATGGAAACTATTTCGAAATGAACAGTGTACTTTTTTTTTTTTTTTTAAAAAAACTCCACAGTAAGCTGAAATTTGTTGATGCAAAATACACAACTCACTGGAAAATGGAAAAAATTAATCTGTATTTCCATTTTTTTTCCATCTCCCAGTACATAGAAAATGATGGTATTGCGCAGCTCCTCGCGCCCCTTGTTGAATACTGGCTGTTCAAAAAAAATAAATTTTTTAATGTATCAGAAACAACATGAAATTCAAAACTGTATAAAAGAGGAGCCCAAAATTATCAAAAGAGTTTGAGTGGCCCCGCCACTGAAGTTGAAAAATTAAGATTCAAAATTTGATGAACAGAATTCCAATAAGAAGAATGTAACTTTTAGATGAAAATGGAGGGATAGCAGTTCTTTCTTTCTTTCTCTCTCCTTAGAAAATTTGTGAAATTCTCTCTAGTTCTTCAATCTGCAATCATCTTTGCCGCCAGCCCTAGCCTTTGGCTTGGGTGCTGGTGGCTACCTTGTCAATTCTCCTTCCTCTTTCTGTCCTTCTCTTCTTTTTTTTTTTTCTCTCTTTTTCAAATTTCTCCTGAGATTTTTTTTTAGCTTATGTGAACTTTGTCTCCAATTTTCCCGTGAGTTTGTCTCACCTTTAAGCTTCATGTCCCTCTTTTACTCCCCTCCCTCTCCTCTGACTATTACTTTCCAAACCCAAAACTCCACCTCACCTCATCTTTTCCTTATGCCTCTCTTCCTCATATTCCATTCCCACCTTGTCATTTGCTCTGATCTGCGGACTCCAAGACGGATCCCTTATTTCCCCCCCCCCAACCGGCATGTCGAATTTCCCTCGAGGCCAAGTGCTCTGCGGTTACGAGCAAAGTAAGGGTATTTTACATAATCCTTTAGCCTCACCTTCTATCCATGAGTTACTTTGTTCGTATATATTTGCAGGGATTGGTGAATGGGTTTTGGATCTGGTAACTATTTTTTGGTTCTGCGTCTTTGGTGAAGAAATTTGGATGTTGTGTGCTTTTGGTTGTGGGTTTGGTAGTTTTGTGCGGTGTTGTCTTGGTCGGTTTCACCACTCTGTCGTTTCCTTTACTGTTGCAGCTTTGGCAGCTGGTGGCATGACTTTTGTGGTGGTGACCACGGTGGACATTGCTTTCTGCTGTCAGAGATTAGAGAGTTGAGTTTCTTTTTTTACTTATTTAATTGGGCTAGGCTTTATGTATATGGTTTCGCCCAATGTATTTGAGTTATTTTGCCTTCCTTTGTGTTGGCCTGTAACCATCTTTTGTTTTAATGAAGTTTACTTTTCATATCAAAAAAATAAAAATGTAAATTTTGTTGCAATCCTTAGATTAGGAATGTGATTGTGTAAATCTTAACATATCTAGAATATCACCATGGGATTCTACCATATCTTTTAAACTAGATATTTTGTAATCCTATTGGGAAAAGAAATTTACCTCCCATACTATTATAAATAAAGGTACAATGTGATGACATAACACACCCCTCACAATTACACATCTCTCTCTTTCTCTCTATGCTGCCACACCCCCTCTCTATACCTTTTATATTATTCAGTAAATTAGATCTACAACAAATTTAACATTTGAGGACTTTGCAACTTATCAATGGAACAAAAAATGTGTACATCTTGAAATATTTTTTAAAAAGATGTCATCGGAGATGGTAAACATCGAATCTGGATCCTCGCCGGAAATCCGTGAATCATATCCGTTCATTATACATCGTGTGGTCAGAAATTATTTTAACTATTTTTATTTAAAATTAAATACAAACAAAATTTGACAAAAACTGATAGCACGATGTACGATGAATAGATACGATTTACGAATTCTTAGGATCTTCACCAAAATGGTCCAGAGAGGATTTGGTAAACATCATTTCACATTTCCAATTTTATATTTTTATATTGGAGATACCCTAACAGAGTATAAAGCATACAATTAAAAATGTATCAGAAAGCGTGTCGTCCAAAAAGAATCATCCTAATTGATATTGAAGGACTAATCCAATTGATAAATGCTACTAAATCGCGTCCAAAAAAGACATTGCCTGAACTCATATTGAAAAAAACCCTCATATTAAAGAAATGGATTTTAAAAAAAAGAAAAAGAAAAGAAAAAAGAAATGGATTTAAAAAAATACTCATATTAGAGAATGCGACCTTCACTATACGATTTTTCAGTTTTTTGGTCATCCGTTTTTGGCCGGAAGCATCTGTTTGAATTTGTTTACGTCGCATGACTTCCATGCACACCTTGCGGCATATTAATATATGCTCTACTCTGGAACCCCGCAACTCGATCAAAGGCCGGCCAAATTCTCATGTCTCTATTTCACAGTCATTACTTACATATTATACTCAGAACTTTGACTGGTTAGGCCATCAATATTGCAACACACGCGACACGTCTTCTTGTTTTAATTTGAAGCATTTCCAACAAGCGACTTTTTACATTGTTCATAAGAGAAGAGTTAGTGGACCTAAGTATTGACCATTCTTTACACTACTTGGACGTGCTTAGTCACCATCAAATTCATTGGAAAGTTGTCTAGAAAATTTTGTCTATAAAGAATATATATTCACATAAACTCTTCTTAGCTAATTAAAACATTTTCACGTTTGATTCATATATTTTCAATATTTCTAGAAAAAGGCAGTTATCGTCTCACTTGTTATTGTGTTTCGTCAGTTTGTCCCATGAACTTGTAAGACACTGTCACTTTTCTTTCTAAACTTTTATTTTAGTTGATTACTCTTGTTAAACTTTTATAATCTCAGCCCAATTTCCCTTACAAAATAGATTTTTGAATTTTTCAACTTAACATTAGGTCATTTTTGTCACATGTTGTGCACATGAGAAACTTTCGACAGTAAACAAGTAATTTTGTCCCTAAGGATTAGATGGAAGGGAAGAAAGGTAGAAATTGTTGTAGTTATGAGTTAGGGACAAAATGACTTTTTTCTCAGATGTCTCTCACTTGGACAACATATGCATGGACAAATATAGATAAATTGTTAGATGAAAAGTATTAGCATCTAACGATAGGGGGGATTTTAAAAATTATAATAGTAGGTAATTAGCTAAAATAAAGAGCTAGAAGCAAAGCAAGAGATCACATGAAAAATCACTTTCAAGCCACAAATTCTTCTATCTCCACACATGATCCAACTACATATCAAGAATGATGGCTGGAAGCCTTGCATAGAAAGAAGTGAGATACCCTAAACTCTTGAAGAAACCACAACCAAATTAACCTGCAAATCTTAAAAAATCCCATCATAAGCTGCAGGACTCGAGTTACCCTTAGCAAGGCCCTCCATATTCATTTTGACCCGAGGATACAAAGGAGGATGCCAAAGAACGAGAATTATTGAATGAGCTTTCAACGACTCAACCGATGTTTCAAGAGAGACAAAGTTGTTTATCCAAAACACCATGGATATGACCAGTGGCGAAGTCTGGAATTGTCGAGGAGAGAGGCAAAATGTAAAGGGTAAAAGGTCCTAGAAAATATAGACAATCATTCAAGGTCTAAGACTTGGTATGCAGGAAGATTGGACAATATTTCATTCAAGTAAGTGACTTTACTTTATTGAAAACCATCTAGAATATTCGAATAGAGATTTTTACTAACCAAAATATTCGAATGAGGATTTGGACTACCCAAAATATTCGAAGGAGGATTTGGACTAACCGGAATATTCGAAGGAGGATATAAGCACCAAGGATTGAAATATCGGCCGATACACCGATATCGATATTTTCAACTGTCGATGCCAATACTGGGGGGGGGGGTAAGGCCATATCTTCCCCTATATCGACGATATATCCCCGATAAGTGCGATATCTCCGATATTTTGCCGATATTCTCGATATAGCACAACATGCTGCCCAAGAAGGAGTTGATGTTGATAGAGTCATATCCGAAGATGTTAGGAGTGGAGATACTTCATCATTTGAAAGGGATATGCTTGGCACTCGACAAGGTCAAAGACATCCCTTGAGAGACGATGCCAGTACTAGTAGAAAGGAAAGTTCATCCAATTTGTAAGATAATGATGGAGGAAGTAATGCTGGATCAGGACGTAATGAAGAAGGAAGTCAATATAGCCTATTTACTATCGAGGCTGATTTTACTCATGCCACCCAAGATGAGGATCATGGATGCAGAGAAGCTGGACCAGACATTGGCGCAATTGGGAAACAATACTCAGGGAAAAGAAGCCAACCAATCAATCCATCTGAAGATGACATGGCGATCAGTTTTGGATCTATGAGCATAAGAACTAGACCTAGTACTAACTCAAATGAATCTTATGATGGCTATGGGTATGTCATGTCTGATTATAGTGGAACTAGTTATGGAGCTCAAAATGATGAAACAGACTATGGACCTACTAGTTGGGTTTATCCTGGCTATCCCATGTATAGGAAGACAGTAGGGAGCTCAAGAGAGACATATATGCACCATGTTGAAACATGGCGTACAAATTGCTCGGGTTACATGACTTGGTATGACTATTGTATGAATCTAGATGGTTGTTCCTCATTGTTTGAACCTCATAGGAGCTCTTCATTTATGTAGTTGGACACTTATCTAAATTGTAATCGAATGTTTAAACAAACTATGGATTTATGCATGGTTTATTCATTCTAATAAACATTTTATTAGAAAACTTTTCGTTAACGCGCATTACATACCACTTATATTTCATCATATGTATATCTTATTCTTAGTAAATTTTGAGTTTTATTTGTTCAATACATTCATTAATAATGTACATAACATCTATTAAAGTTTTAGACCAAAATTATGTGTTTCAATGCCTATATCTGTCATTTTTGTTGATTTTTTCCTGATACCTAAAACGATAACGATATATCCCCCGAAATATCAGTAAATTGGAAGCCCGATATTATCTGCATGGCCGATATTTTAATCCTTGATAAGCACCATTTCTTATATTATAATTCCATTACGTGTGTTTGTATAATGAGCAAGGCTCTAAAAGACGCAAGTTTCTAACATATAATATATAAAAATTGATAGACTTTCCTTAATATTTTGGTGAATATGATAGTATGAGATAAAAGTTTAAGTGATTACGAGCTCGTAATACTTTACGAGATGTTTTTGGAAACTCGTACGGATTTGTAGTGAATTTTAAGAAGAATAATTTGTGTCAAACATGTGGCCTAAAAATTTCAAATAACTTGACTGAATTGAATATGGCACACGCAGTGTAAAAGCAATGACAACAACCTACATTCAGGCATTTCATCAAACACTTTCTGCGCAAGGTTAGAGGAGCGAATTCTTGATTTTTCATGGGGATTTCCGATGACTAGAAGAGTGATCACCCCTCTTTGCTTTAATGTAGCTTCGCCCATGGACATGACTATGAGAGAAAACTCCAACTTGCCTAATTTAAGGTAAAGTAAACGACAAAGGCGACTAACCACCACGGGGCAGCCTAGTGGTTGAGGAAGAATTTCAAGCCCGTATTCCACACGGCACATCCTGGGTTTGATTTCTGGCTTGTGAATACGATGGTGGTCAGGGGGAGGCTGAAATGCCTCTGTGAGTTTTCTCAACCTCTGAAGGGTGAACTGCAGTAGTGAAGCCACCAGACGGTTGCTTAAAAAAAAATAGAAAAAAATAGAGAACGAGAAAGGCGACTCACCATTTAGACTAAGTTACACAATATCCGCTATTATTAAGAAAATGTTCATTGTCATCATTTGGACTAAGTTACTTAGTAGGACAATCATAATCATAAGATATTACATTCACCATTCAAGCAACTTGAATATGAGATCTCCTATTTATAAGTGAATAAAATATTATTAAACTGTAGTATATTGTCTACAATCTTATATTGAACAAATTTTTTTATATAGTTATCTAGAAAACAAAAAGTAAAGTCCATATTTTTTTTCCCAGTATGGGTTCTTAACCCCTCAAAGTTGATGGATGAGAGTTGGGCTCAATTATTGTATCCCTTCGTAAAGAGCATTTCCAAATATCTTCCTTATTTTGATCAAGGCAAGACTTCATTCCAATCACCGTGTATGTTTTCTCTTTGAAATGTTAGAGGTACAAAATGTAGATCCACATTCCCCCATTACATTATTATTTTTGGGAAGACACCACGAAAATTCATTTCTTATTTGTTGTGCTGGTGTTATATATTGTCTATCATTACCCAATAGAAATATACATATTATGCAACCATCCAAGATTGAATGGTTTGAATATTAATGAATGAAACATTTTGAAATTTTCAAAAGATGATTCCCCTTGAAAAAAAAAATTCATTGGCATCGCTAGTCGGTCAAATTGGCGAAAGTAATGTTCTTCTCTATAATTTGTTTCTTTGATGATACCGGATTATGAAGTATTAAAATGGCGAGAGTGACATGATTTATTAATTAATAGGTCATTTATTTGCCACAACAAGCAAAAAGATCCAAATCAGAATTGCACATACAAGATTAAGTATTTAAACTTTATGATTGATGGACTTGACAATTATATACGTTTTACATACATACATACCCAAGGATTAAAATATCGGCCGTGCAGATAATATCGGGCCTCTAATTTACTGATATTTCGGGGGATATATTGTCATTGTTTTAGATATCGGGAAAAAATCAACAAAAATGATAGATATAAGCATTGAAACACATAATTTTGGTCTAAAACCTTCATATATGTTATGTACATTATCAATGAATGTATTGAACAAATAAAACTTAAAATTTACTAATAATAAGATATACATATGATGAAATATAAGTGGTATGTAAAGCGCGTTAACGAAAAGTTTTCTAATAAAATGTTTATTAGAATGAATAAACCATGCATAAATCCATAGTTTGTTTAAACATTAGATTACAATTTAGATAAGTGTCCAACTACATAAATGAAGAGCTCCTATGAGGTTCAAACAATGAGGAACAACCATCTAGATTCATACAATAGTCATACCAAGTCATGTAACCCGAGCAGTCTGTAAGCCATGTTTGAACATGGTGCACATATGTCTCTCTTGAGCTCCCTACTGTCCTCCCATACATGGGATAGTCAGACCAAGACGCGTATGTCGCCTCAATTCATTGTGCATAGATTCTTTATGGTAATAATTAATGGATACTCCAAAAAATCTTTTGAATTGGATATTGCCAAAAGCCTTCACACATATCTAATCATTGCCCACATACCTCCAAAAAATCTTTTGGGTTTCAATTTGCTTCAAAACTTTTGAATTTTTTTGGGTTTTGTTATAGGTATTGGGAAATATCGAGAATATCGGCAAAATATCGGAGATATCGCACTTATTAGGGATATATCGTCGATATAGGGGAAGATATGGCTTTACCCCCCAGTATTGGTATCGACAGTTGAAAACATCGATATATCGGTGTATCGGCCGATATTTCAATCCTTGTACATACCTACATACATACATACGTACGTACGTACATGGATACGTATGTACATACATACATACCTACTCAAACTATATACGAAAGAGCTAAGTGTAGTGTAAAAATGTGGTTTTTCGTTAAAGTGAATAGTACCATGGGTTTTTTGTTAAAACTCCCTTTTCTTTTCCATAAGTAACTTACAAACGTTTAAATGTCGTCATCAAGTTTTAGATACACGAAGAGGCTTGAGAGTACAACTTGTCTTGTTGAAGGCTAGATGTACTAATAAGCTATAACATTTTTTCAAGGATCCAGATCGTTTATATTTTAGTTCATCATCATAGATCATTTTTGTAAAAAGTGAGTTAGAAATATCCAAAACTATTAAGACATCCAATTGTAGTGAAGAAAACAGACGAATATAGTTCTTCAAAAAAATACTAAAATGATTCGGGAAAAAAAAAAAAAACACTAAACTGACTACTAGTTAGTTATCCAACTATCATATGATTTCGAATTTTTGTGGCTTTTGGTAGAGATAATCTTTTGAAGAAATGACTAATAGAGATCCATTGGGAATTTGGTCCTACGAGAAATCCCCAAATAAGCTTTTCTGACGGATCTCTCAATGAAAGGGGATTAGATATATGCATATGTGTGTATCAAATAAAGCACAACCTATCAACTCTGAATTAAAAGCCTAAAACGACATAATTTTTTTTTTCAGCCATTGCCCTTAATGGAAACCCCATTCTGTCATCCAATTCTGTTAGAAATCAAATTTTCATTTTTTTTTTTACAATTATGCCTACCACCGACAAAGAAGCTCACATATGTTATTCAAAAGGTGTCTACCCAGCAGACAAAGATGCTCACGATGTCGTTCTCGGAGAAAGCCAATTTCGACATTCCCCAAAAAAGTATCTCTGCCTGCTATCCTGATCCCTGCCTCCTCTCGAGTGCCTGGAGGGCTTTTCCTGCTCGGCGTCCTACGGCGGCGACGCCTTGTACCTCGACGGCTTGCTCTTGAAGTGCAGATTGTCGTCGCTCGACTCATACTCCATGGAAGCAACACTGATCAGTCTTTCTGCTTCCAGTTCCGCTGCTCGCAGCCTTGGCCGTCGAAGACGAGTTGTACTCGTCGTAAAACCCATGCGCCAAGGACGATGACGATTCCTTGTGATAGTGATGCGCCGATGATTATTCACACCACCGGAGTAGCAATGGCAGCAGAAGCAGTGGAGGAAGAAGAAGGCCTTCCGCTTCTTGCTCAACTCTCTCTCAGGAAAGCTTATGCGAGAGAACGCGCTTGCCTTGTGCTTCCACTCCGCCGCCGCTTCAGCCGTAGCAGCTGATGCTGTAGTTGATTATATATATGCAAAAACAAGACATTACATTGTATTGCGTTTCACTTTGCGAATAATCATATATAGCTACAGCTTCCACAGGCTAAACTGATCTTTTATTTTAAATTAGTTCAAAATTGGGACTATACTAAAACAATTTACGACAGGAGCATCTCAAATATCTCATCGGGTTAAAAGAGAAGCAGAATATCAGAAATAAGGATTAGACACAAAGGAGGGGCAATAACTTTCATTTTAAGAACCCCATTCTAATTATATATGACGCACAAAAAGCCAAGGGAGTCTCAGGGAGACGGGGGATGATAATCTGGGATTCGCTCAACCAGGGGCAACGGAGTTCGCTATCGTCGCTAATCATGGATTCGTTCACACAACTAAGCCAAATGCTTAATTTTGGAAGAAGAAATTGCTTTCTTCAAATGCACAACGTAAGTACAATTTTAATTCATTCAAGTCTGCCATTCAAGACTTTCTAGTACAATATTTATAAGCGTGTACAGATTAATAGACTTTAAGTTTCCATGCTTACAACTCCCAAGATAATTTAACAAATTCCTAAGTAATTAAAATACAAAACCTTTGTTATTTCAAAGCATATTAATGGTTTCAAATTGTTTTCTCCAAGTCTACCTCCCACATCAAAATCGCTCAACCAGGGGAGACGGAGAGCGGGGACTGAATCACTCACGTCTCTATAGGGATATAACCTGAGAATCCACGATTAGTGACGTGAACGAGCTCTGTTGCCCCTGGTTGAGTGAATCCTAGGTTATCATCCCCCGTCTTCCCGAGACTCCCTTGGCTTTTCCTACGTCAATATATAAGCAAAAATGACAGTAGGTTGTATGGCAATCAAGTACAATATATGTACAATTACAATTTTTTTAATCAAATCTTTTCCCAAGCTGTGATCGTGCGATGGATTTTTCATCCCAATTATGCAGTGGAACCCTCCTAGTAATTAAAAACTCTGCAGCTTTGTATCAAGGGTTGGGTTTGATTTGGGTATCTCATGAAGAGAAAGTGAAAAAGAAGGGAGGAACGGCTGGGTATCTCATGAAGAACGTCATGGGCATGGGCATCACCACCATCATCACCATCATGAAGGTGGTTGTTGCTCATACCATGGGATGCATCGAAACTAGAGAAGACACTATTTCTAAAACTGAACAAAAAAATGGACCAAGAAAGAGACACTATGACACTATTTATGAAACTGGACCAAGAATGAGACACTATTTATGAAATTGTACCGACTATTATACACTATTTATGAAACAGGACCAAGAACTAGACACTATTTATGAAACATGACCAATAACTATGCACTGTATATGAAAGTGGACAACAAAACTAGACACTATTTATGAAACTGGACCAAGAATGAGACACTATTTATGAAACCGTATCAACTACTATACACTATTTATGAAACGTGACTTAATAACTAGGCACTATTTATGAAAGTGAACCAAAAACTAGGCACTATTTATGAATCTAGACCAATAAATAGTATAGTGCCGTTCAATTTCATAAACAATGTAGTACAGTTAAGTTTCATAAATAGTATAGTACCGTTTAGTTTCATAAACATTATCTATGATGGACGTGCGAATCCCACGCGTTAGGTTTTTTTTTTATATATTAAAATCGTGTCATTTTCATTAAAATTTAAGCTCCTTTATCATCTTTATTAAAATTTAAAGGTTTTTCATTAAAATTTAGGTTTTTTTTCATTAAAAAAAGAGGTTATAGCATGATTTTTTATTAAAATAAACTTAACCCAAGTTCATGAAAGCTTTATTTTTCTTAACTTTAATGAAAAGACTTCCGTAAACTTTTTATTAACAAAAAAAATCATTTAATAACTTTATTTAATAAAATTGCTTAAACTTTAGTAAAATGACTTAAATTTTAATAATTAGACAAAAGTGAAATATAATAAATAAATAAAATAAGTAATAAAAAATTAATGCATGGGACTTTGCATGTCCTTCACACACACTCTCTCCATCTTTTACTATTTCTTAAACTGAATACTAATTATTTCTCAACATGACTATTTTTTAACTTAAACACTAACTGTTTCTTAAATTGACTAATTTTGAAACTGAATGTGTGTACTTCAATATTTCTTAAACTGAATATTTACTATTTTTGAAAAAACATAACACATATACTATCACTAATTTTAAATTGAATACTACTACTATCATTATTTCTTAAACTGAAAATTGACTATTTCTGAAACTGAACACATATACGGTATACCACACTATTTTTTAAACTAAACCAGAGTACTACATTATTTTTTAAACTGATTATTTTTAAAACAAAACCCAAGTTGGCATGCACCTTGCATGCGCTTTTGCTTAGTTTATTTTTGGGAACTTTAATGAAAAAGGCTTCGACAACTGAAATTGACTATTTCTTAAGTTGAGCACGAGTATTACACTATTTATTAAACTAAACATGAGGTACTACACTATTTTTTAAACTGAACATAGATACTATAACTATTTTTTAAACTAAACATTATACTATAACTATTTCTTAAACTGGACACTTAACTATTTTTCAAACTGTCTATTTTTGAAACTCAACATCGGTATTACACTATTTTTGAAACTGAACACATATATTATTTCTGAAACTAACTATTCACAAATATTTAATTGTGACAGGGTGACTTTGGTTCGTAATTGACAAGTCCAAACAAAGAAAACATGTCAAAGCTTTTTGTTTCAACTAATGCAAAGAAAAGATGACTGAAACAAACATTAGGATTTTGTTGACCCTAAAAACTACCTAGTCTATGTGGCATGCATGCCGAATAGCTAATAAGCTAACTACGTCATTCAATTGAATGTAGGGCTTGCCAACTCGTCATCCAAGCTTGGTCGGGGAGTGAATGAGTGTTGATGTGGCGTTGGGCGCGCTGCTGATTGCCACCACTGTGCTATTTGTCCAAACTGAAGGTGTGTTGGTGGGAAGAAGGAAAATAAAAATCTCAAGGTCTTTGAGAGGTTTCGCTTAGAGCAAGAGTTTGCGTAGGGCAGTTTTGTGTGTTGATTTGGAGGGGTTTCAATGATGCACTCCCCTCTCTATTTATAATAGCAATTTCCTCAATAGCCGAGGTAGAGTTTCACTCGGACTAGAATTCCTTAACCCAATCCGAATAGATCTCGGCCAACCTGACTCTTGCATGACTCTGAATCGAACAACTTAATCACTCAGATTCAGCCCTTGATTCTAGGCATTTTTTCTGATTCGAAGTATTCCTAGGTTCTGATAATTTCTTGTTGCATTAGGACTCGACTGCTTCACCCTTATTTGGATGGAACCTTCTCCTAATAGGACACGGCAGAAATCCACTGGACCACGCCCATGATGGGAATATTCCTGACACCTCATACTGGATTTAGAACAATTATGGGCTACATCATTGGTAGCATTAGCAACCTGTATAATCTATATCTTACTGACTATGAAAACAAAGACAAGCAACTATCAAAAAGCCATTTACCACTTAGATTCTGAATGTTCGACTTCCAATTATTTGATTGTAGTTTACTAACAAGTTTTAATCCAAACATCTGGCTATTACAGTTCTTTCCATGAGTAGTCCTGTGAAATAGCTCCCTTAATAACAGGAATAAAAAATGTTAATCCTCCAATTGCAGTCTTGACATTAACACACATACTTACAAAGACCAATATTACTAAGGAGTTACACATAATCCCTAACAAACCAAGAAGAAATTCTGGAGAGATCCTCTTACAAAGCAAGAACTCCACTAACAAACCAAGAAGAAATTCAACTAACCTTTGCAATAGGTCTTGGTAAAGTCAGGTAGACGCATCAATTGGAAGGGAACTGCAGAGCTACAAATATATATATTATCTATGGTAGCATTAACCATTTCTCTCTTGTTTTCCCGAATAGCCTCGCAATTAAAAGTGCAAATCCATATGAACAAATTAAGAAAATACAAATTAAACCCATAATTCAGATTTCATACGTAAATTAAGAGCGCTTGAATAATTGAATTTCAGCTTAATACCTCAACAAGATTAATCAAAAGAAAAACTCATGATTTTTTTCTTTTAAATTCCGTTTCTTTCTAGTTTTCCATTAACCAAACACAAGAACAGCATTCACTTTTTTATTTCCCCATCTTAATCTCAATTTTCTCGTCAACCAAACAAAAGATTGAAATCAAGTCGCATACCGGTCCACTTAAGCTCAGGTATTGGAGCAGCCACTGGTACCCAAAATTATCTCGGAAATTGATGGGGTCGGGATGGAGGCCCTTACAGTGTTATCTGCCGTACAATACGCAGGTCAGCGTCTGAATGCCCCTCAGCAGCCGCCCTTTGCAATGCTATAAAATAATAGTATTATACTTCACATGTCCGATCGAATTCTCTGTTCTAAATTAAAATTAAGGAAACAAAACACAGATTTACACATGCATAGAAAACTAGCTAGCACTTGATGAAAGTAGGATTTGGCACCTTGCCACTGTGTCTCACTCCCTCTCTCGTTTGACAAAAGAATAACGAAATTTATTTTATTTTTTTGCATTAATTTTGTGGTTTTTATTTTCAACAGTGACGCTTTGGAAGAGTATTTCAAAGGGTTGCGAGGGATTGTAAAAGGTTTGTGCAAGGCAATGTCAAAAGGCTTGGGATTTGAAGAATGCTACATAGACAAAGTTTTTATTTCCCCATCTTAATTAATCTCAATTTTCTCATCAACCAAACAAAAGATAGAATATCAAGTTGTATACCTATCGACTTAAGCTCAGGTACTCGAGCAGCCACGGGTACCGAAAAGTATCTTGGAAATTGATAGGGTCGGGAGGGAGGTCCTTGCTGTCAGAAGACGCAGGTTTGTGTCTGAACGCCCCTCAGCAGTCGCCTTTTGCAATTCTTGCACCTCAGGTACAGCGCCATGATCCAATTCCGCTAGGTTTCTTCGACGGAAGCTAGATTCGGCAAGGGCGTGTCGTCTAGGTCGTACAACGACATCTCCGCTTCTTTCCAAGCAAGATCTGCATCTGTTTATCACATGCATCAGGATTTCCATTGCCATTTTTCAGAGTTGGTGGTTGTCGATGCGTGTGTTGGAATTGTGGTGAAATGAAAAGATCTGAATTCCTGTTCCGACTTTACTAATTGTGATGAAACGAAAAGATCGTTGGAAAGGGAAGACAGAGAGGAGTTGTATCTTAATTTAGTAGGAAGAGAAAATTACCTGGTCAGTCGGAGAACCAGAGAATCAAAATGGGAGCTCATTGATTTAACGGAGAAGAAGATCGGAATGGGCTGATCAAATGACAAAATTACAGACATGAATCTAGAGAAATTTTTTATTGTGATCGGAATACAGATGATACACCACGTGTTTTTATATAAGGGGTGAAAAATTATATTTTTTAAGTTATTAACTTTTTAATATACATACCTACTATTTGTATAATAACATATGTTGTACCATCCCGTATTTCGGTCACATTGAAAAATCTTTCATGAAACTGAGCTCTATACACCTTTCCTAAGCGAAACGGACCAAATAAACGGGAAACATTTGAAGTCATGGGTAAAATGGGAAGCTCAATAAATTACATTTTTTAGGCTAGTCTTATTGGGTTTGTTTACTATTGAATTTTGTCCTAACCATTAAATAAAGTTATTACATGGCTTTTGGTTAATATTCAAAATTTTTAAAACATTTTCATTAGTTTTCTTAATTTTCCATCGCTACTACAAAACTTACCTCCCATAGCACGTATGAATATCCTATGTAGAATATCAAGCTTGACGATCGAGTCTTAAGAGTTTTGAAATCGTAAGCTCGATGGAAGCCTCATACTCAAATTGAAAGCACGATCACAATCCCTCATTTTCTTCACTAATATCCAGCTTCGTTCTTCGTTTCTGATCGCTTAGAGTTTATGGTTCCATTTGGTGCTTTTCAATTGGCTTGAATGTTGAAACTTCACCTACTTACAGTGACTGATTCGCTAGGGTTATCATTCAATTAGTTTTGGAGCAGGATATGTGCGGATGATCAGATATTCAGATTGACATTCAATTACTTTTGAAGTTTGTAATATGGTTTTGACATTCAATTTATCTAATAAGCTCTCCATTTTCTATTTGTCTGCTATTTTGGATTCTCCTTTTTCTTTCAATTTAAGTAGCAGTTAATCTATTTGCAGAGTTTCTGGTTTCTTTTTTTCTTTTCAAAGTAGAGTAATTCATTAAACAAAGTCCAAATTGATATAAAATAACTGACAATGATCCTAAAAAAGACTAGTATATAAAAAGAACACAACTGATGCAAATAAAATATGAGTAAGTAGTAGTTCATCTAATAGTTCATTTTTGCAGCGAGTACAAAAATGATAAATAACAGAAATGCATACGGGGTTTCAACCCAAACTCCTAAATGGCCCAACCAATAAAGGCTTGAAAGTGGCTAGTAGATAAAACCTTAGAAGCCTATGTGAGGGATGACTAGCCGTAGAAGCTCGAAACCCAAAGGCAGCGAACCACACACAATCGCCAATTTCACGCCACAAGACGACAAATGCTCCCTAGGTTGTACCATATACAGATATCCAAAATCCTCAAATGATAAATAAAGCTAAACCACAAACAAACAACATTAGGGCAACACCAAAACTCAAAATTACCGCCAAACAACCTGCAAACAATTGGAGCAGCCAAACTTCACAACTATATCCACCACCATGGAGACAAGCAAGAACATAGTTCCAATGCCAGCAAATCAAGACAAAAATCCAAAACCAAAGAAGAAGGCGGGGCAGAGCTTCGTGCCGGAACCAATATCTTGGTTTCACACACCTTCAACTGAATGAGCGACGATTCACTTTCGGGATGGGTAGTAGACACAAGAGCTCGGTTAGAATACTCAATCGAAAGCAGCCATGTTGACAGCAAATGAGAGTTAGTAGGGCCAGGGTGGAGGGCGAAAAGGAAACGGCAAAGGATGACGGAGAGGTTCGGGAGGACTGGGGTGGAGTACATTTTAGTTGACCACTTTCATTTATTTTTTGTCACACGGCAACTGGCTGGCATCATTAACTGGGCCTTCACATAAGCCCCTTTTCTTCGTCCCAAAAACAAAAGCTCTTTTCGTCCAAAAAAACCATAAGCCCTAAGCCCCTTCTTTTTTGCCTCTTTATTTTGGTTAGATACTGTTTGAGATTAGCTTTAACTAGTTGGCAAGTTATTCTAAAGTTAATCATTGGTTTTAACGTATTCCATAATATTATATAATATGAGCCGATTATTTTTGGTCATCTTTCAAAGATTATGCCTACTAAAATTCACTCCAATTGAAAGCATTTTACTTATCTAATTGTGACCAATTAAATTAATGAACTCATTGTTGTCGAGAAACAATGAAATGTTAATAACAATAATCAAACAATGAAACGATTTTCAAATTAGGTGAATTTATGCAAAAACAATATTTGAATAAAGACCTAAAAAAACAAACAATTCACGTTATAAACCAGCTGCCAGAGGAGAGGAAAAAGCAAGTTTCTCCCTCTTTCTCTTGGCATCCTGGCATTTGATATTAACAAGTTCAATGTGCTTTCGGTCAACCTTGTCTGATGACTACTCTTATTTGCTATTATGCAACTCTTAACCGTTATTATGCATAGTTGGATAGTTGGAAATCTTCCACTAATCCGCGCTTCTTTCTACAGGTTATTTTTGGCTAGATGTGGGGGTTCAATGACAGTCCGGAAAGCAATATCAAGACAAAAACGAAGAATAAAAATTGAGAACTTTCCATGAAACAAGACTAGAGGGAAAGAAGAAAAACCCCTATGTGAAAAAAAAACAGAAGAAGAAATGAGAACCGAATCGATACCAAACAAGAGCGGTTGTAACCTTTAGAGGTTGAACATACTTTTATACTATGTTAACAAATCATAGAATGGAAAAAGGACAAATTAATTTAAAGTAATTCTTTATTTTATTGATTGAAAGTAAAAAGAACACCACGTATTATTAACACATTACCAAGATGATTGCATAACTAAACGGTTATATTTTGTAGTTTTACCAAGACTTAAACACTTATAGTCTTATACCCACTAAAATTAAAACCCATATTTATAAGATAGCTTTTCATTAGCAAACCAGAAGGAAAAGATAATTAAACAAAAGGAAAACAAATAAAAATGGTTTGAAAATTTTGAGTTTTAACAATAATGACAAAATAAATGGTAAAATGAATAGTACGAGGATTGTTTTTTTAGTGTAAAAATATGATTTTTTGTTAAAATAAACAATACCGAAAGTTTTTTATTAAAATTCCTTTAAACAAATGGTTAAGTTGCAATACTTGTACGGTCCTTTAACTCTACCACCTTCAATTTTTCTTTTAAAGTACTCTCAAAATCGAAAAATTTTTAGGTATACCGGGTACACCAAATTTTTTTGGTGTACCCTCACTCATTAGAATTTTTTTGGTGTACAAAAAGTGAGGGTGCACCAAATTTTTTTGGTGCACCCTCACCATTATGAGTGAGGGTACACCAAAAAAATTTGGTGTGCCGGGTACACCGAAAAATTACTCCTCAAAATCGGAGATGTTTCATGATTATTTAGTGATTTCAAAGAGTTTCTTCTTTATTGGTCACTTTTTCTAAGAGATTCTTTACTTGGTTACTTGAGCCACTTTCTTTTGAAAAGTCAATTCTCAATTCTAGCTTCAACTTGGGTTACAACTTGGAAATACAAAATGAAGACCTGTTTTTTTTTTTTTTCTAAATCAAGCCGCACGTATGGGTTTTTTTTGGGGGGGGGGGGGATGTTGAGGTAGATAAATTGTTTTATTTATTTATTTATTTTTATTTAACAAAGAATATTATTTACATTAAAATAGAAAATGTAAGTTAAATATCACAATAAATTAGCAATAATGTAATACATAATAAGTTTATTCGACACAAAAGTAATTGGACCGAATCCATTGTCCTCAAAGTTTTATTTATTTTTTCTATACACTGGCATTTAAGTTTGATTTTTTCTCCAAAAACAGCTGACCATTCTTATCAAGATGAACCATTGGAAATTAAAAATACTTGACATGTCAACAATATGGACCATGTACATTAAATTTCACGTGTCAACAATATGCCGTATTTCAAACTTCACATAATTTTGTTTGCTCTTGTATCTTTCAGGAAATTAATATGATATTTGGAAGTGTGACATTATACAACTATTTATATGAAGTTATGAACATGGCCTACGAGTAACGTTTATAAGAAAATTTAGCCCCCGACCTTGCCGACTTGGTTTTGCATGTATAGTTCGAATTTTAAATTGCGATTAAGAACTTGTATTGCTTTTTATTTTTATTGTCTGATATAGTTACGAAAGTAAACAATATGATACATTACTTTCATGTCTATTTTGTTTTAAGAAAGATTCTCTATCTCACTTTTACCTATTTATAATGCCTATTTTATTTCCAACACTTTGTTTGTTCTAATAATTTCTTCCAGAACAAAAAACAAAAGGGAAAAAGAAAAAACAAATTCTCTTTAAAGAAAGGAATATTACTTGAGTTTCCAATAATGAGTCATTAGACCAACGCAACCGAAGGTTCCCGAACCCCAAACAAACCCCACATTCAGTGGTGGATCTATGATTTCAAACTCGGGAGGTTTTAATAATAAATGTCAAGAAATTTATAGACAAAAATAACATTAAAAAGTTAAATATAATACACTTCATTCAAAATCATACGCAAAACAACATTACAAGCTATAAAATCACAAAACAACAAATCGTCGTTTTTTCAAAACCCCAAACAAACCCCACATTCGTAGAAGCCTCTGGTGATAGGTCCTTTAAGCCATCTCCAACCGAAAGGGTTATGTTTAGCCCCCGTCTAGATTATAGCCCTACAAGAATTTTTTTTAATGAACAGTGTCAAACCATATTTATATATCATCTCGAACCGAAGAGGGCTATTTTTTAGCCTCCTCAATAATTTATTATTTTAAGTTTGTTCTTTATTTATTGGTTAATTGAATTAAACTACCATAGTGTTACTTGCCGCTAAATGAATAAGCCTCCATATTTCTTATTTTTATATAATTCAATAATGTTTCGGATATAGTTTCAAGTGATGCATGTCGCTAAATGTTGTTTAAGTTTCATGTTATTAAATATTTTAATTTTACTTGCATGTTA